TGTTTTGATGAAATTTGTGAGATTGTTCTGTGAGAATAATAAACAGGCTTAACCAGACTGTTAGGCCTGAGAGTATATTTATAATGAATAAGTTGTCTAATACAATTAGGAAACTAACTAATAATTAATTCTACACTATTACACTCCCTCAATCTATGCCGGAGGAACTACGCGTAGATTGTCTCGTAAAATTAAAATAAAAGGTTTTTTTTTTTACAAGAATATTACCAAAATAAAACTTATTTACATAAATATGACTATTCATTACTACAACGTAGTGTTGTGGTAACTTAAGTTCAAAACTTGAACATGAATTAATATGATTTCATTACTACTCTAGTAACTATTCATATTTTTGTAAATCATCTTTACTTTGGTCATATTTATGTTTTTTTTTACTCTAGGAGGCGTCTGGGGGAGGGGGTCTGGGGGCCTGGAGTAAACTGGGTTGAAACTCACTCCATTGAGTTTCGAACCCGAGACCTCGCATAAGGGAGAGTGAGTTGGCGACCAGCTGAGCTGAACTGCTTCCTCTTGGTCATATTTATGTAATTATTTCAAAATAAAAACTGCTGAGGAGCCAAACTCTTGGTAAAAATATCAGCCAGCTGAAACTCCGTAGGAACATACTGTACTAGGAGATCACCATGAGCAGCCACACGTTCCCGAACAAAGTGATAATCAATGTCAATGTGTTTGCTGCGAGCATGCTGGATGAGATTTTCAGATAAATATGATGCATATACATTATCACATAATAGACGAACAAGGCGATAAATAGGGAAGCCGAGCTCGAACAAAATAGATCCAATGTGTAATGTATCCTGAACCGTGTATGCAATGGCTCTGTATTGAGCCTCAGTAGATGATCTGGAGACAGCAAGTTGTTTCTTAGACCACTAGGAAATTAAATTAGGACCAAGAAAAACAGCATAACCAGATGTAGAACGACTACTATCAGGACAACCAGCCCAATCAGCATCAGAATATGCCAGAATCGAATGCGGATATGTGAAAGGATGGAGATGTAAACCATGCGTGATCGTGCCCTGTAGATAGCAAAATATTTCCCTAAAAGAGAAATAAAATTACTAATAAGATTATAGGAATTTCCAGTAATAATAATGTCATCCACATATAGTAATAAATAAATGATTCGAGTAGTCTGACAAAAAATGAGCAGAGAATTATCAGCACAACTACACACAAATCCATAAATCAAAAGAAAACTATTGAATCGATGAAACCGCGCCCGGGGAGCCTGTTTGAGGCCATAAATGGCCTTGCGCAAGCGACAAATATGATTAGGAAATTGGGGATGAATAAACCCGGGTGGTTGACATACAAACTTCTTCTGTGAGATGAACATGAAGAAAAGCATTTTTAACGTCCAATTGATGAATAGGCCAATTATATGAAATAGCTAAGTGGTTGGTTTAACAACGGGACTAAAGGTTTTAGAAAAATCAACTGCAGCTTGCTGTTTAAACCCTTGGACAACCAGACGTGCTTTGTCAATCGATTCGTGCGTTGCGCAGATAACACATGTAATTGAATTCATCATAAAATTAAGTATCTCATGAGTACTACACATTTACTTCTTATATAAAAAGTAAAAATTGTATAATGATACAACATTTTGTTAGTAACACATTATAGATCAATTTACAATATATATAGATATACTAATTAGTACTACTATGGAATATCAAACCATCTAGGAAGGCTGGAATTGAATTAAGATGAGTATAATTGTAAAAACTAAATCAAAAAATTCACAATTACAATACAATTAACAATTTATTGAATGAGAATAATAATCAATAAACTCCACAATAGAGAGTAATAAATCTGTACCAAAAACTAACAAAGTATAAAATTGGATGAATAATGAATAAACTCCACAGGAGGTGATGGAAGCGAGAGAGCTCCATCAGTTGAAGTTTATTTACTTATGCTATAATCAGTTTAGACTATTCTCTAATTTTTGTTTTGTTTTTATATTGTCAAACAATAAGGGTGGCTGGTTCGTGTTTTATTTTATTTTAGTTGATAGATTTTTGTTTGGGAAGCAATCGGACTCACTCAGTCGTTAATAGCCTCTTTGCTCTCACTATTTCAGCGATTAGTCTCGTTCTACTCGGGGTGGACTATTCTATGTCTGATCATGACGTGAGGGGACCGATGGGCTTTTGGTATTGATTGGATAGAGGGAGATTTAGGTATTGGGATGTGATTGTTGCTTTGGTACATTTGATTCTAATATAAGTTATTTTCTTTAAAAAAAAACATGAATAAACTCAAGAATAAGCTTGCACACAAAATCAACAATTTCAGGAATGGAAATAATAATAAATAAGGTACACAAATACACAATAAATTTAAAAATTTACACAAAAATGGGAAAGGGAAAAGCCGCAAGTCGGGTGGCGAGAGGAATGATGTTGTCATGCCGGCCTAACAGGTTTGTCATCTGGCTGCCTCCATTTGAGGTGCTTCTGAGTTAAAACTTTTGATGTAATTTTATGATCATGTTTCTCATTAATGTAGATTATTATGTCCATCAGATTTCACCTTAAAATTCAATCGGGAAGTAAGTTAAATAAATTGTTGAAAAATGGTGCACTAAAATGTATATAAAAAGGGAAAAATAATTAAATACCTCAAACTTTGAAAGAGTGTGAGATGAACACCCCAAACTTTCATATGTAATTTAAATACTCCAAATTTTATATAAAAAGTTATGTTAGCACCATGGTCATATATTATTTCTTTAAAAAAGTAAATTTATTGTGTTAGTTGCATAATTTAAAATAGCAAATTAAAAATGTTGCATTTATAAAGAGTGGGGGTAGTATTATTTATTTTACATTGGAAGTTTAGAATGTTAATTGTATTTTCACGAATGCTAAAATATTTTAAATTATGAAATTAACACCATAAATTTACATTTTTGAAAGAAATAATACACGATCATGGTGCTAAAATAACTTTTTATATAAAATTTGGAGTTTTTAAATTACATATGCAAGTTTGGGGTGCTCAGCTAACACCCCTTCAAAGTTTTGGGGCATTTTAATTATTTTTCCCTATAAAAAATGATGTGTTTTTCAATAATTTATTTATCTGACTTCCCGATAGAAGTTTAAGTTGACATTTTGTAGATATAATCTACGCTTCATTGATGAGACGGGCTCCTCGTCCCATACCGATAACGAGGTTGGTGATGTTCAGGTCTCCGGTGCTTCATTGATTAAAAATATTCATCCCATGCAAAAACGGTCTAGATCAGGAATTTTTTAACCCAAAACAATTTTTAATCTAAACACTGAGGTTTTGGTTCCTGTCCGACTTGCTTTTCTATGGCTAATAAAGATCTTAAATGGAGAGCTGCATTGACTGGGAAATTTAATGCACTTATTGTTAATAAAACATGGGAATTAGTGTCGTTTGACTCTAGCAAAATGTGGTTGGGTCTAGGGGTGGGCAAAAATCCCGGTCCCGGTGTCCCAAACCGAAAAATCCCGATAGCGTTCCGAAACTATCCCGATCCATTTAGGATGCAATTTTTTCATCCCGAACCGGTCCCGTACCGATATTAACCGAGATGGGACCGAGATAGCTATAGAATACCATGTCCCGTCTCGGTGTCCCGTTTGAAAATAGTAGGTTATTTTAAATTTATAATGATATGTAAAAGCCAAACCCAATTAAAACTTTCTAGTCCTTAGTCTCCCTAATGTCATTTTATCGTATTTCATGTCTCTCTTCGTCTCGTTTCTTTTGTTTCTTTTGTTTAAATTTCTTTAGTTCTCATTCCGATACTACTCCGGAATATTATTATGAATGAATAACTACTCCAAAATATAGTGTTATAGATTTAATATATTTCAAAATAACAACTAGTAAATATATATATAGTCCTTATAGATATTGAAAAGTTACAAGTGTACTACAAAGTATAAAAATATTTTGCGCTATTATTCTACGAGGAAACATAAGATTAGGGGGGACCAAAAAAAGTTATAAGACAGTAATTAAAAATAGTTAATTAGAGGTTTTACTTAACTTTTTAGATAAGCTAAATTTGCAAAAATAGTTACATCTTTATTTTGATGTTATGTTTATTTTATATCACATTTCACAAATGTATATTTTATGGGACGTCCCGAACCGTCCCGGTTTTTCTCGGGATGTCCCGGTCCCGTTTTAAATGGGACAACATTGGGATAATGAATTATCCCGAACCGTACCGGACCGATATTATAATTTATAATACCGGGTCGGGACCGGGATAAGTCAAATCCCGAACCGTCCCGTTCCGCGCCCACCCCTAGTTGGGTCTAAATGGATTTCTTAACAATAAAGACAAATAATCTTGAATTAACTAAGAGCCTGTTAGTAATATCAAAACCGGCTGATAGACTGTCGAAATTTATGAAAATAAAGAAAAAATAACTAAATCAGAGTTCTAGTTATATATCACTATGCTGATAATAACTGAATTAACTGATTCTGTTGATAACTTAAAAATAAAGATAAAATGATGAAAAATAACTGAAATGATTTTGTATGATCTCTAGTTAGAAAATTTACTTCAATCTAACTTTTTCTTATTATTATTATTACATAAAAATTATTGATCTGTAAGCCTCCTAAGCTAACAAATAATGTAACCAAATGGGCTCTTATTCTTTTTTGAAAATGTAATTTTTTATTAGTAAGCTGGAATTAACTGAGTCGTATATAAACCCTTATTACCATTTCTGTAGGATTCTGCAATTTTGCTTGCCTGTGTCTGGAGATTATTGCCAGAAGAGACAACCCAGTGAACCCACCCGTTGTTTCTGCTTTCTAAAGCTTCGTAAGGAGAAAGAAGGGCAGAAGATAAACTTCGGGATGGCGGAGGCGCCGTACTACAATTCCAGCGACTGGTCCTATCACTGCTGTTAATAAACGGTTCTCTATACTTGAAAATGGTGCCTCGTCACTAATTTTTTTTTATCTGCTACTTTCGCATCTCAGGTATGATTGGTAATCCAGATCTTCGCTTTTCCACTAATTCCCATTTTCATTTCAGCCATTCGTTTCGTCAATGTGATTTTCTGTTTTGCTCTGAGTGCTACTTTTTGGCAACTTGATTTGACTCATAGTAGTGTTAAATTAAGGAAGTTCTTTCTTTTTTTGGGACCGAACGGCACCTTTTCAACAGTAAAAGTCAATCTTTTGAGTTGAATGGATATCTGGAACAAGATGTGACTGATGGTTTTTTTTAACTGACCCATTTGATGAACTGAGTCTTGGTGATCTCCCAAGTCCAATATGTGGGGTGTAGTTTTTTTAAATTAAACAAATTCCCGGTTTCTCATTTTCACTTTTTTTTGGCTGATAAGAGATTTTCTTCTATATTTCTTTGTTTGTCATTTTGTTTTGCTTCAGCTGTCATTTGTTTTTTCTGATCTAAAATATTACACAGAACTGTTTATGTTGCATTCTAACCCAAATGGATTTTAGTTTTAAAACCTGCAGAGTCAAAGTTGATTGATACATTCTTCTCTGTTTATATCTCAGTTCGAATAGCCAAGGATTTCAAAGCCACTCTCAAAGAGAAAAATAAACCAACAACAACAACAACATCCAAGCCTTAGTCCCAAACGATATTGGGGTCGGCTAACATGAATCGATATATGATATCACCAAAAGGAAAAGAACGAAAATAAAGATAAAAAAGATAAGCTATTATAAAAAAAGATAATATAAAAGAGATGAATATACATATAAAAGATCAAATAAAAAGGATAAAGTAATAAAGAAGGAACAATCTACTCCTTATTCAAATTTGCATTGTTTGGTTGGAGGAAATATAGTTAATGGTAATTCAAATTCCAGTCTAGTGTTTGGTTTACAGTTGATGAAAAAGAACAATAGGTATTGACTATTAGCATGATAGTGTTGTTACTTTGATTCTTAAACATTATAATAACACAGATACATAAATGTTTGATCCTCCTTTTACATATCGTTGTATGTTACCCTCAAAATGACTGTAAATGTTAATTTCTGTTTTAAAATGCTCAGTGTTAAGTTTTTTAATATGCCCTTTATCCAGTCTTGATTTGCAAGTCCTGAAGCTGTTGCACATTCTGTGATCATCCCCTAACCGGGGTTTATCTTAAGAATAAGTCTTAGGAGCTGCATTCAGAAGTTAGTAAGATCATCTCAATAATAATGTAAGAGTTAAAAATCAATTTAGTCCTGACTACATTCTACTACATATTACTCAATTTGGTCCTATATTTTTATTGGACTCATTTTGGTCATCGACTGCGATATTTTACACGACTTAGTCTATACATATTTGGTTGTAATGGTGTTTTTATCCACTAACTAAATTTATACCAATTTAGGACCGTGTATGGCCCCCAACTATGTCATTTTTTCCCTTATAGTCCTCAGCACACGAAAATGCCCTTCTTAAATACAGAGCAATATGCTGGACTCAATTAGTCTCGAGGACAGCACAGACGCCGAAACTCAATTTGATGACCAAATTGAGTATTAGTATACAGTCAAGGGGCTAGATCAGATATTTCCTATTAGTGCAAAGTTGATTGTCGCTTTCCCATATCTCACACTAGTTCCTCAAAAAATTGTTTTCCCCCCATTAAGGTTAGCAAAACCGTATATTAGATCCAGACTCCATTCAAATCTCTTCACTATGTGAATGTGTCCAGAATCTCTTTCTTTTGATCATTGCTGGTTTGATAATCAGTCTTATTGGCATGTATGGTCATCGAATGCAATTATTTTCTTTCTAACATTCTGAATTTACACACTGGTGCTACTTCATATTATAGCTAGCTCGATGGGCTCAAGATTTCCATCTCACCAGCTCAGCAATGGCCTCTATGTATCAGGCCGGCCTGAGCAGCCCAAAGAAAAGGCACCAACAATGAGTTCTGTTGCAATGCCATATACTGGTGGTGATATCAAGAAGTCGGGTGAACTTGGAAAAATGTTTGATATCACTGGTGATGGCTCCAAGTCAAGAAAATCAGGGCCTATAACCAATACTGGCCCAAGAACAGGATCATTTGTTTCACATTCTGGCCCCATTTCATCGACAATGGCGACCGGTTCATCCTCTTTGAAGAAATCCAATTCTGGTCCTCTCAATAAGCATGGGGAGCCTATATCAGGCCGTCAAAACTCAGGCCCTCAACCACCTGTACTCCCTACCACGGGCCTTATTACTTCTGGGCCCATCTCATCTGGACCACTCAATTCGTATGGTGCACCAAGAAAGGTCTCTGGTCAATTGGACTCTATGATGGGCTCCATGAAAATGGTGAATGGTCCTTCTCATGCTGTGACCACTCTTCTAGATGACAAATTCTCCTTCAGAGGGAACTTCCCAAAGCCTATCTTTTGGGCAATGGTTTTGCTATTCATCATGGGCTTCATTGCTGGTGGGTTCATTCTTGGAGCCGTCCACAACCCCATACTTTTGATTGTCGTAATAGTTCTTTTTGGGATTGTTTCTGCACTGTTTATATGGAACTCTTTTTGGGGAAGAAGAGCTATAATTGGTTTCATTGGTAGATATCCAGATGCTGAATTAAGAACTGCAAAAAACGGGCAATATGTCAAGGTTTCTGGGGTAAGGGTAAAATGGACATTTGTGAGAAAAAGTAATTAAATTCTTTTTTTTTTTGTAGAAAGTATACTTGCTCACACTGAAATTACCTTGGCGGTAATCATGTTTCTTTGATTTTATATTTAATGTTTGTGTTATTATATTGTGAAGGTGGTGACCTGCGGAAATGTCCCTCTAGAATCATCCTTCCAGAAGGTTCCTAGGTGTATCTATACATCAACAAGCTTGTATGAGTACCGGGGATGGGATTCAAAGGCTGCAAACCCTACACACCGCCATTTTACCTGGGGGCTTAGATCATCAGAAGTCAGTAACTAAACGACTCCTCAGAGTTTTTTGATGGATTAAATGCATTATTAATTTTTTATCATGAAGCATTTAAGCATTAAAGTTTATATATATGTTCTTGCCTTTTTTGCATTATTTTCTTTTCCTAATTGCCATGGTCTAAATACGTTGACAAGAGTGCTTTTGTCTGTTCTGTTAATTTTTTTCAGAAACACGTGGTCGACTTTTACATCTCTGACTTTCAGTCTGGATTGAGAGCATTGGTTAAAACTGGCTATGGAGCAAAGGTCACACCTTATGTAGAGGAGGAGTCGGTGGTTATTGATGTGAACCCACTGAATAAGGAGTTATCGCCTGAACTTATTAGGTGGTTGGGTGAGAGGAAACTCTCAAGCGATGACCGTGTTATGCGATTGAAGGAAGGGTACTCTCTCTCTCTCTCTCTCTCTCTCTCTCTCTCTCTCCTTTGTTAAGTGCAAAATGTGCAAGTTTTTGAGCCATGGTCTAATAATTTTTTTAACACCGAGTTGCTTATAAGTTATAACATACGGTTTAAAACGTAATCCCTCTATCCGAGTTTGTTGGTCATTACTATTCATGCGACATGCGGTCAATCTAATTTTTTTATTGCGTTATCACGTGTATCAGGTTTTTAACATACTCATTAGAACTTTAAGTGTAGTTTCTAAAAATGCAAGTAATTTAAATATTATCAGTGAAAATTTCGGTTTTTCAGTTATACCTCATGGTCCTCATGATCTGATTTCAAAAATGGAATGCAGGGTGTATGTTGCTATGTTGGATAAGTTAATTGATTTTATAGTGTTTGGTGAATATTACATAATAGCTGGTAATTTTAAAACAAAAAGCGGTTTAAAAATACAATCATAATGATAAAGTTTATTTGAAAAGCTACCCAATGAAGCTTATCAAATAAGTTGTCCTAACCAAACAGAACTTATTTGAAAACATTCCTCTAAAACTAAAGCTAATAAGCTGACTAGAAACCTATACATAGTCTAATAATAGCATACCTTTTTTGTGTGGTTTAGGTATATAAAAGAAGGAAGCACAGTGAGTGTAATGGGAGTGGTACAAAGAAATGAAAATGTGCTTATGATTGTGCCCCCTCCTGAACCATTCACGACCGGATGCAGTTGGGTGAAATGTATTTTTCCAGCTACTCTTGATGGCATTGTTTTGAGTTGTGAAGATGCATCCAAAACTGATGCCATACCGGTGTGATATAGCAAGCAGTCATGCAAGTGTCGGTGGTTTGTGAAGATGTCATAGTGAATACGTATATGCTGGTTATGTGTATAGTTAGAGAGAGTACTTAGGCCTTTTATTTTGTTTTCATTTGCTCTTACAGCATGAAGATTCAAAAAGATTTTGTAATGGGGAATGGTTAAATGTTGGATCTTCGTTCCAAGTGAAAATTTGATACCATTGGGGTTTTACTCCTACCCATGCGCAATGCATTTTCTTACTGCTTTCTGATCTGAGGTTCTTTTTTTCCATTGTAAGTAGAAAGGTGGGGGTGTGCATACCAGCAAAGTAATTGTGTTTTTCATTGTTCCAACTATTGGCACAAAGCCATGGCAGCAAAGGGAGAGACTAGAACCGCAAGTCCGCAATTAGATATACTAGGTCCTTATGTGTAGTCAGTTCCAGACTTCCAGGCATGGGTTTTAGCCTATTTTAAACAAAAAATCTGAACTAGAACTGGACCCGTGCTATTTTGGAGTAACTGAAATGCCCTTCAGTTTGACTTTTCGTTTAAAGCAAGTCACTCCCGGTCTGGTTCGAAAATCTGGATTGAATTCCACCCCTAGTCGACGGACCAATCAAAATATTGGAGACAATTTGGCATGAAGTAAAAACATTACATTCTATTTTGTGTCACAACAACCCTTTTAAGTGTAAGCATGTTTTTTGTTACTTGTAGTCCTCTAACTATTATGTCAATAATTTTTTTGGTAATAATTTTTTATTTTTTCCAATATTAGTTTTTTTTACTATTGTGAGTTGTGACAGACACATGATACAATGTTCATTTTTTTCTATTAACCCTCTGACTTTGTGAAAGACACTTGATGCTACTTTGAATCTTGACGCCATAGATGAAGATGGAAAGTGTCACTAATACATTAGGTAGGGATTAATTGCATTACTGAAATAACAATCTGAGGACTAACAGGAAAAACCATTTCAAGATTTTTATACTCGAAGCAATATCTCAAGGAGAAACTGCCCTCCATCAAATCTTAACCCTGGTAATCCACCAGGCTGACATAAGCAATCTACCATTCCGCCAACTATGTACAAGTATTGACCTGAATAGTCTGTGCAGGCTCGGTGGAATGACCTAGGTTCAGGTTTATCGCCTATCCCCCTTAACTCCGTCCACCCTTTTGAAATATATGATCTCTTACGATTCATGTTTAACAGTGAAGAACCAATATCCAACACCCAAAAGTCATTTTTTCTATGTCTATGCGAGTCTTCACCTCCGTATATGAGTAGTTTACGACCTACGATGAGGTTCGCGGAGTGGCCGACCCGAGGTAGATCCACCAGCCCTTGAGGACCCTGCAAGTCAAATAATAACTCCACCCAATGCCATTCACCTTCACATGACAATGCATGCAACAGCCACACATCGTTGAGAACTTCGTACCCTCTCCCTCGCCCTCCAAACATGATTATTTGGTTCTTCCCAATGTTGGTCAACGTGTGACCGGACCGAGACGGAGGAGAAGAGCAAGTCACTAGTTCCCGCCATACCCCAGAATGGTGGTCTTTTGAGAAGACAAGAACCCAAGTGTCATCTAGTCTAATCCCGGACATTCCAATGCCTCCGTGGATAAGCATCATCATTCCGTCATCGGTGGGACAAGCTGCGTGGGCCCCTCGGGGAGGAGGTGAGATAGTTTCACTCACATCCAGTAGTCTCCAAGACAAAGTAACACCGCCGCTAAGTGAATCCTGGAATGACACCTGCCCTATCCAAACATCATTTTGGCGAGCGCCGAGGTCGTTGATGCCTCCAAAGAGGACAATGAAATTTTCAATGGCTACGCATGAATGCCCGAACCGTCCGCTTGGACTGCCCACAGCTATCTTTTCCCATTTCAATCTTACCCTGATGTCACTGTCTATACGTGCTATCCACGTGTCATCAAGGTGCTTACCTAAGGGCCACAAACACGGAAGAGAAGAACATATTTAGGAAGTTTACAAAAGAGATGTAGGGACTTGTAAGAGTGAATGAATGCCACTATTGGAAATCTAAACCATAGTTTTATCTTATACTCCGGTTTTCCTTGTCTAATTTGTGGTGCTTGATGGTTATACTCTTTGGACAGAACACAAAAATGGTAAAATCTAACCGGGCAAATAGAAACGACAAAAACCAATAAAATCATACACAGTTCAGTTTGGGATTAGAGACTTTTAGGCTTAAAGATGGGACAGAAACCGACCAAACCAAAACTTGCTGGAGTTATTTAGTTCCACTTCCGGTTTTGCATTTTCAAGATCGAACCGACCAATGTAAGCCCTCAAATACCCTTAAGTTACTATGCCAGTATGCCTACATGTTTGTTACTACGATTAGTTTGGACTGCTTATGCTAGACTAACAAGGGAGAATCCTGAATTTCTGATCAAGAACTCCTTTTTCTTTATGTTACTGTATAGATTAGTGCACTCTTTTTTTCCCCTCACCTATATATACATAATTAGCTTGTACTAACTTAATTTAAGATGTAACGGCTGTATGATCTAAGTCACTCTAAAGTATTGAATACAATCGATTAACTAGTCTAACCAGTGAACGAAGAATGGGAAAAAGAAGACAATTGGAAAAGAGTAAAGAAAACAGACCTCCCTCAGAGCCTCCACCAAAGAGAACAAGGCAATTGGATACAAAAATGAGTGAATGAGAAGCTCTGGGAGTGGGAAGCTCCTGGTTGCTCATCAAGATTCTGTGGCAACTCAGAGAGTCCAGCTGGCGGATTTGGCGGTAGAGATTTATCCAAGAGATTCCTTGTTTGGTTTGAAGCATGGGTTTGAGGGAATCCACTGAAAAATGGCCCCAATCCTTCCTGCAGATGGATTCCCAAAGGGGGTCAGATAGAGACAGTGACTTGAACCTCTTGCAGGTCATGGCAAAGCTCAGGATTGAATCTATGGGTAAAAACAGCAAGATGGTCAACAGCTGCTCCTCGGCTATGTTGGTTATTGGTGATGATGATCTGATTGAGCTTATTTTGGTTTTATCCATGAAAGCCCTTCTCCCACTCTGCTCTCTTAGCTTGATTCTTCAGATTTCAGGTAACAGTTTTTGCCTTCTTCAGGTTTGGCCTGGGGAATATTACTCCACCATCTGCTGTTGTGGCTACGTTTGTCTTTGTATAGTCTTGACACTTGACAGGATAATGGCTAGCTTTGTCAGCATGGAGTGTTAAAATACATTCAGTATGACATATTAGAACTCTCATAACTCTATAAATTGAAAATTATGACTTTAGGAAAATCAATATCAACTAAACTTGAAATGGATAAAATCTGAATCGTAATATTAGTTTTTTTTTAAAAATTCGTAATATTGGTTATATTTCCAAATTTTTAAAAATAACATTTTATTCACTTATTGGGTACTTCAAGTTTATAGTATATTACATATACATCAAGCCAATAAATATTTAGGTCTTATTTAAACTAATGATTAACACTTTAACCCACCTAACATGTTTGTCCAGCTCTACTACTAGTCTACTATTAGTGACTAAAATGAATGGAGAATTATTTGTCTTCTTCTGTTAACTGTTAACCATCCACTTGACAAGAAACATGCGTAGGTGATATTACTTACGGATCATTACCAGATTTCCCACCCTGATCTTCTCGTCATTAAAGGGATAGACAAGATACATGTCATTAATAGATCAAACACATTTGTGCTATCAATTTTTTTAAAAAAAATTATTTATAAAAACTTGGTTAATGACCATTAATTTGTTATAACAATCAAAACTGGTGTAAATTTGGGTATACGTACTGTCTATGGTGCACCGATATTTCTCATCGATGTCGTATCCGTGTATCTGATAGGTATCCGATACTGATACTCACTGATACATGTCATGTACGTATTGAGTCTGTATCCGGAATTTAATAAAAGTATCTGACCCTATAACCCTCATTTCATACACGACATGACAAAAATTTAGTAGCCGCTCAAACGACCACAAGATGTGGAACATTGATAAAAATAATTTCGGGAGTGTGGAAAATAATGGAATACTTTAATTTGTCATTTTATCGCTTGATGAACTTTTATTTGAATTTAAATCGAGATATCAGTACTTTAGGTTTTTTAGCCTAATCTTTGAAATCTCATTATACTACGTAATAGCTATTTTTTGTACTATTATTATTATTATTTTATTTATGAACCCCTGAATTATATATTTTCAAATTATACCTTATATTTTCATTATTTATAAATATACCCCGTACCCGTATCCTATAATTTTTGAAATTGTCGCATCGCCGTATCCGTATTCGCATATTGACATGTCGGTGTATCTGTATCCGTGCAACATCTGTGTGAGGTAGTACTATTTTTGAGTAAAATTATTCTTGAAATTGTTTACTGCCATAAAAATTGTAGGAAAGAACAATCAAATTCTTGTTACCTTTATTTGTATAATTTGGATGCTTGTAGTCTACAAAACGGGTTTCTAATTTTACAATATTAATTTCAAATTTAATATTAGATTAAAATTATATCACATTGTAACAGTTTTACTACCTTATCAAATAAGGTCTTTTAATAAAATATCGTAACCAAAATTAATATTGTCTCAATTTTAAAGTTGCATAAACTCATCCCTCAATAAAATTTCAAGTTTGACTTTGATTATTTTACTCCTTCCCCTTCTTATTTAGTTAAAGATCGAACAATTCTCAGACACTTACAAGTTACAACCTTAATTCTAGCCAGGGGCGGAGCCAAGGGGGGTCAAGGGGGTCAGCCGACCCCGCTGAAAGTTTGAGAGTATAGAGCTCTGAAATACCTTCGATTTGATATATTATGGCCCCCGTAACTCATTACGAGTAAAAAGTTATGACTTGTGGAAAATCAGCACTATCTAAACGTAAAATCAGCAAAATTTGATGCATAATATTGATTATTTTCCCAAATTTTATGAATAACGTATAATTAATTCATTAGTTACGTAACATGATTCAGAAACAGAGCAAAGACAGTATATCTTATTGCTTACGAATGCTTATTTATCTAAACTACAAATGAAACATTCAATTCGAACATTATCTAAAAACGATGTACCATTTTCATTTTGTACATAGTTAATTTTCGACCCCCCTCACCCGTTTTTCTGGCTCCGCCACTGATTCTAGCCCTGTCTTCCATTCTCGGCCACTAATCTTCTACCTCATCAAGCTATTCTCGTCCACTGATTCTCCTGATCAAGCGGTTTTCATCATAAACAGTGCAGGCTACCAGTGAAGCAAATAATTAAATGGCAGCATGAAACTTCATCAACACTATTGTTTTACGATCAGTGACACCAAATTTAGTATCACTAAGCGTCATATTCTCAATACTTTTTCAGTGTCACTAGAAGCAGTATTCTACTAGTGCCTAGAGTTTGATCTCTCACTGGGGATGAAGATGGACATTAGGGGCATAGTGGATTTTTTTGCATGAAATTGTAAGGCATCACTTTGTTCGAAATAAAAGTTATATACTCTTGAGTCTCCCCACAGTGAAGTATATTGAGTATTGACATTATTTTGAGCATACACTATGATAAATTGTAAAAGGTTGATAAATGTTTTAATAAAATTTAAGCTTCAGAAGGCGGGGTGTGATCATTTTATTCTTATTACTATTTTTTATTTTTATTTTAACTAATTAATCAACACACCATATAAAGTCTCAACATTAAATCAATTGATGGTTTTTTTTTGCTGCCAAAAGATCAATGTGAGGAAATAGAGCAGATTATGAATGACTATTCGTGGAAAGGAGTGAAATTTGCAAAACAAAAAACAGAATTCCATGGAAGGCGTTGAAAGGGATAGGCTGAATAGAAACCGTGAAGAAATCAAGGATATCAAAGGTAACAAAACTGGAAATATGTTCTTTTAGTTCTTCAAATCTGTTTTTTAGTTCTTCATCATATTATCCCCTTGGCATAATATTCATGAGGCTTTTATAAGTTTCTTTTTGGGAAATTAGATAAGGATCCTGAGAACTGAAAGTTGCCAAGCAGGACACTAAAGTGGATAAAAAGAATGAGAATGACGCCAACTTGAAGCAAAACAAAGCTGATAAGGATGGAAGTGATAAAAAAGCACCAATGGATACTAGTCATATTTGCTCCCTTTAATCAATGGTATGTGTACTAGTCATTACCTTGTTGTATTTGATTAATTTCTAAATTTAAGAATCAAATTTACTTTCTCAATATATGTATGCACTTTTGCCAGTTGCCCTTTTCTTTCTAATGCATTGATACTTTACAGGGCAAAAAAAGATATCTCACTTGGATTGCTAGAAATAAAACCTACACAAAAGGTATTACGTGTATTCATAAGTTCATTTTAATTTGCTAATATATTGCTAGAAAAATTATGTGGCAGAAATAATGTATTCCAAAAATTCTAATGCAAAGTTCATTATTTTGTAGGCAGCTTCTTCCTCGAGAACCATATTCACAAGAGCAAATAGATGAGATTAAAGATGCTTGAATTGGGCTAGATATATACTTTACGTCTTTACTAATCAATGTGTGTAGTATAATTACAATATTGTAAGACATGGTTTGTGCTTATTTCTAAAGTTTTATATATTACTTGATTGATTGTGATGACATGTGTAAACCTTTATGATTTGACACTAGAGTGATGACCATGAATTTCCAGTTTGTTTGCAAGGTTTAGCTTTACATAGTCTTTAATTTTGTAGTATTTTACATTAGGATGAGCTTGGAGGTATATTAGCAGTTGACCAGTAGCTCCTTTCCACTTCATTTCATTTTAAACAAAAAAAAAATCAGTTTTATCTAATTATGGAAAAAAACTTTGAGTCGCCTATACTTTAAAACCCATGCATATAGTAAATGTGAAAAAAAATACTTTTAGAGTCGCTTCATTAAAATAAGCGAGGTGTAAAGTTAGTTATTGTATCGCCAAAAAGGCGATGCAATAGATGCGTTACTTTATGCATCGGTGGCTTTTGCATCGCCTCTAAAGCGATGCGTAAAGGGGGTTTATAGGCGACTCAAAAAGTATTTTTTGTAGTAGTGGATTGAAGCAACATTTAGCAGACAGATATGGAGTTGCTGTTGTATGTCCTCATACGACAACAGAACTTACGAGGGAGATGCAAGAATATTTAATGATGAATCATGAAGTAAACTGGTCCACATCGACTCAAATAGATTTGTTTAAAACTTAAACTTCTTAATCAAGTTCTTGAATAGCTACCAAACAAACAAAAATGCTGCTTCACATTGTCTAATGCACCACAAAAAATGCCAAAGACAAAACATGTCAATTGCCTCCATCATTGGCTAAACTCTTGAGGAGGTTGTTGATGCATGACATGCCAATGGCCCCAGGCAAAGTACACTAGACCAATGTACAAAAAGCAAGGAGGAGAAAGAGTGAGTCTTTATGCACATTGCTAATTTGTATGAAAATGACATTTCTTTCAATGCAGCCAACTCGAGGAGCTATGAGATTATTGGTGTAGTCAATTGGACAGTTTGGACCAAGACTTAAACCTCTCAGCGATCATGAGTTGCGTGTATGGTGTACCACTCCTTGGAAAAGCAAAGAAAGAGACATAGAAGCTTAGAGAGAAACATAAGGCTGCTTAAAAGGAATATGAGTGCACATTTTTTTAATACTCTAGGGGGGCCTGGGGGAGGAGGGCTGGGGGGCCTGGACTAATCAGGACTGAAACTTGCTCCATTGAGTTTCAAACCCTTATGTGCCTAGCGAGTTTCGAACTCGAGACCTCTCACTAGGCACAATAACCTCACAACCAGCTGAGCTGGAATGCTTGGTTATATGAGTGCACACTTATGTCTGATGGATGGTCTGATCAAAGGAAATGACATTTGATTAATTTCCTTGTCAATAGTCCAAAAGTTACTTTTTTCTAGACTCAGTTGATGCATCTAAGTGAATCTCAAGATGCAACATGAGTGTGTATATGGTATTGCACACAGGGACGGATCCAGGATTCTGAGTCAAGGGGGGCGAAATTTTTCGTTAGTGTAGGGGGTGAATTTTTTTTTGTTAGTGTAGCGGGGTGAAATTTTTTTCCCTAGTGTAGCGGGGCGAAATTTTTTCGCTATTGTAGGGTTGTGCGGCTATTTTTATTCAAAAAATGATATTAATTCATGCACATCCTGAACGACATTTAAATCTATTACATTCTAAGTTTAGGCGATGACAAAGACATCAACCAATACATTTTTAATAACTTCTACATTGTTTAACCTCATGAATCGGTTATTGAATTGTAATTTTTGTCCACCAAGGAGGGTGTTTGTGAGTCATGACTCATGAGAAGTTTTCTTAATATTACAATAGTAGTATACTAATATGCATGAGATTGTAATTTTTAGAATAATATGCACCACACACACACACACACACATATATATGGTGCATATTATATTTTAATATTTTTATTAATTCTATAATAATTTAGAGTTTATTATCCATGCAATAAATTATTTTTAGAAAGCAAGAAGTAAATGAATTATGTAATCTAATGTCTATAAATATTTATATTTTGGATTCATTTCACGTGATCTAAAAATTGTGTAATTAGTGTGTCTGTTATTTAATATTGTTTGATATACGTTTTACGAAATCCAGTACTTGTTATCTAATAAAGATAATTAAACATTACAAAACTAGGAATTCTTATATAATAAGTATCCTAAATCTTAAATAACGAATTACTCTATTGTTTATTTGTTTCAAATTATTTTAGTTGTTTCTTCTTTTAAATCTCCAATTAAGTATTACATTATGTAAAACTATATATATTAATTTTGAAAATTAAAAGCTAAGGGGGGCGAATCTAATTAAATTATGAAAGTTTTATGAAAATATTACATATATGGTAAAAAAAATTGAATGTTCAAGGGGGCGGTCGCCCCCCGCGCCCCCCCTAAATCCATCCCTGATTGCACAATTATGACTTATCGTTTGATCCAAATTATATACTTCATGTGTATGTATATGCATGTATATTGAGTGTGTGCCTATTAAAGGAACATAATGAAGATTTGATGTTTTGAATAATATGTGATGTGACACGATTTTTACCAACCATGGCATTTAGGAGGCGTGTCTTTGATGCATGTATTGAATGAGTGGATACTCCGCATATTCTTAGCCTTTGAATTAGCCAACATTAGTACACGGGTGTTGCAAATATAAGTGGTGGTTTATGTGAATATAGATTGGAACTTTGGAATGAGAACCCACTTGAGTTTCATTCAGGAAGAGAATAAGTGGTGGGTTTGTATTCCACACGATCCCATGTAATTGGGTAACATATTCCATTATTCCCAATAAAATTTGGAACTTTGTTAATTCAAAATATGAAAAATAGGTTAATTGTTCATCAAATCTCTAAATATGAATATTGTCAATATGAAGTCTGAATTATTGGAAATTATCAATTTAAGATTTAAATATAAAAAAGAAAAGTAACCTTAATAAATGAGTAAACATTTATGTAGAAAAAATTATCAAAATGTTGCAATGAAATAAATAAATAATTAAGGAAATAAAAATGCCTCTCTAGATGCGCTACCTTATTCAAATAGAAAACAATTAAATGGACCAAAATAGTATAACATTGTGTAGAGATAAAAACATATGAGGTTGAATCAAATAACTTCAAATTCTTTAACAAATAACACTGTAATCGTCATTAAATCTGTTTTTTCATATAATAAATTAATCAATTGTTAAATACGTAAAGTAAAAAGTATTTTAGGTTCATAAATTTTCAACACAGATACCTTTAATATTAACAACAAAATATTTATAAGATTGTTGTTCAAATCATAGATCCCATTATTCGTGTAAGAGGGCCATCTTATTTAAATCTTAGAATGCTAAAATGTACAAACCAAATTCTTATAGCCTAATTATTGATATTCCTCACGAAAATATTTTGAAATTCATTGGATTGACATATCACAACTAAAGTGAAGTTGGAAATATAACTCCAATTCTAGAGAACAGGTTGAGTTGATGCGACACTGAGTATTTTAAATACACTTTTGAATAGAGGTGAAAACAATGGCAACAAACAGATTACCCAGGGTGGAGACAGGGAGGGGCTGGAGGGGGCCACGGCCCCTGCAAGAAAAAAATTCTTAAGTATATATTATGTATAAATACTTTTAATCTATAGAAAATATGTTGATATTTTAAACTTTGACCCCTACAATGTAAATTTTTTAAAGACCGACCCCTTCAACAATAGATTTCTGGCTCCACCACTGAGATTACCGTACCTAGTGGTAAGAACATCACAGACAGCCATATTTTCGTCGCATGGACTCATAGTTCTAAACGATAATATAATGAACTAGATTGACATGTGTTTAATTAATCACAACGGAATGGATGAAGTGGAAAAGTGGGTCACGATTTGTATGTGAGCGAGACATGCCGACTAGATTGAAATTTAAGTTTTATTGTATGGCATAATGTATTGAGCAATGTGATTGCGATGAGTACATTGCATTGGATGTATGGACATACTATAATAGTCTACTACTTAAATGAATGACATAATTAGTCAAAAGGTAGGAGTATCACATATTGAAGATAAGATGCAACCGTCTTGATTGCGGTGATTTTGTTATGTGTAGAAAACCGAGTGATGTACCTATTAGACGAATTGAGAGGTGAAGAGAAGAGACAGAGATAAGAGGGAGAGGACGATCCAAAAAGACATGGATTTGGTATATGAGCTTACATTATTTGTAAACATAACTTATATTTTTGACTTATTATTCAATTTTTCCAAACATGCAATTTTTTATTCCGCGTCTAAATTGTATAATATTATGGAGTACTATTTTGGCTAAATTGACTGAAGTTATTGTAGAATGTCATTTTAACTATTTTTATATAATTCATTCTTTTTTTTATTAATAAAATATATTTTAAATGTACTTTTTCAGAATTAGCAGATATAGAGGTCTTTGAATTGTGGCATGTCAGGGCTAAACATGATTTTCTTAACAAAGAAAACGCTGATATGTCCGGCGTTTGTAGTGGAAAATGCCAAAAAAACAAACAGGCTCATAATCATTTTAATCAGAATTTTATGAATTCCAATTGCCAATTAGTTCCACTAATTTGATTTGAGCGCTATCAAACATTCAAACTATCAAAGAGACTCCACGGCATCACAAAAGAAAAAGAGACTTCATGGCTTCACATTGTTCTTGCACCCGACCGATGGGCGTAGCTCAAACGGTAGCAAGAGAGTGCCACAAGGGTTGAGTCTCGGGTTCGAATCCCGGCAACTATGATGAGAGGTTACTATGCCGAAAAATGCCTAGCACCCTCTCCAATGCAAGTGTCTGAGATAGAACCCTCTCCAAATTGTGATTATCCTCTAGGTGTCCTCCTTTTTATTGTTCTTGCACCCGGCTCAATGCATTGACTTGTGTTGTATATTTTCGTCTCCGGTCATCCGACCCTTTCCCGTTTTATCGCTTTGCTGGCTAAGTAGATTCTTCTCATTTCCCCTCTCCTTGGACAGAGATACCGCCCTGCCAATCTGCCATTCATCCTCTTTGTAGCTCAATAAATTCTTCCATTCCCCTCTCCTTTGCCGTTTTTCCCTGATGTAA